GAATAATTTGCTGCAAATGAAGCAGATTCTGGTAATAATGAATATTTACTGAAGGCTCAAGATGTGCCAAGAGCTTCACGTGTATTATTCAGTTGAATCCTCACAATAACAGGCATTATAAACACTCCCACCCCCTCTAACATATGAGGACCCTGAGGCTGATGGAGGTTTGTTCATGGCCATGTAGCCAGTAAGGGGCAGAGCTGGGCCTTAGCGTTGCAGATAGTGTTGGGGAAACAAGACAGTGGAATTTTCCTTGGCGTGGCCTGTGGGCAGGAGGCTGGAGGCACTAGAACTGCAAATACAGTAAAAATAGTTTATGTATATTAAGGGCTATTTATGAGCTCTGACTTCCAGTGGAAGCCAGAAAATAGTTGCCAAGTGATTGCGGTGACTGCAGAACGACAGATTTTATTTGTGTTCATTTGGTACAGAAAGTTGGTGCCCGGGAATAGAGAAAGTATAGAGGTTATTTTCTTGCCTTTTGTCCCTTCCAGCATTATCATTTAGATTTACCTACAGTTGTCATAAATTTTCTTTTGAATGTCTCTTGAAGGTCATGGAGGCACTTTAATGACCTTCACATTGGCATAGGTTTAAGTAGCGCAGCAAACGAATTTATCCATGTATCAAATTGACTTGTATTAAGGGGTTGATAGCTCACCGGTAGGTGGGAAAAGTGGGGTGCTCTGGTGGTCCATTTATTGCTGCGGCCACGTGATACTAGTCTATATTCAGCTTATTTGGAAGCTGGGTGTGTCCCATCTTCTATTTATTTCTGACACTTAATGGACTAGTGCTGTTCCTTTGTTTCAAGGAAAGAACAACCCAAAAATGAAATAAGCACATTCCCCATGACTGAAGCACCAAGGGGAGACTCTGAATAGCCAGTCTTGAATAAAGACAATTTATTTGGTCAGTCACTTAATACTTATCTGATAATATTTATTGGATGCTTACTATATGCCAGGCATTCTTCTAGGTTCCAGGGATACAAATGTGACTAGAACTGACAAAAATCTCTGTCTTTATGAGTGACATCCCAAAATATGTTATTATCATAAAATTAACTAGACAGAAAGAATAGGTCACTTAAAATTGTTATATTTAAGGATATATTTTAGTGGATTAACTGTGGCCTGACCATCACTTCTGAATTCATACTTTATGATTAATTCTGGATTTAGCATGCATTCTGGTTTGGAGAGAAGCTAGCAAAGACTATAAAGAATATTAAAAACATGATTGTGTCTATAAAGTTGTAAGCAACATAGAGCAAAGGGCACTAGATATTCTAAGTACATCTTGAAACTGATAAAATTGAAGATGTGATTTAATTTTTAACAATATTATTGTTTTAAAAAAAGTTTCACAGATTTAAGATTAAAAAAAAAAAACAGAAGAAACCCTGAACTCCAAAGAGAACAAAAGACTGTTAATTGAATGTAATGTTACTTTGTGATTTGGACATATGTATATCTTTTCACTTTTATGGTCTCTTAGGTACAGTGTAATCTCATTAATACAACATATCGATTCTCCACCAGATTTTAACCTGTGATCCTAGACATTTCATTGGCAGCACTCTAGCACCTGATTCCTAGAGGACTCTGATATAATTTCTATACATACAGAAAAACAGAGATGCCAGATTTGCTGAACTTAGTTTTGGAATTCCCAGGAAGCAGATGAATGTCACATAAACCCAATTTAAACACAATAAAAATGAAAACATGCTAATATTGAGAATCAGTCTCATTCCTTGAACTGCTCTCCTGTTCCCAAAACAGGCCAGGAGGAGACCAAGACCACTCATGTCATGGGGATGGGACTCGGCAGTGTTTGTTTCGAACACAGCTTGGCTACCTCCAGATTCCACTCACACCCTGTGTGTCCCCCCCTCTTTGCTCCCTAGTTCATTCTTTTGTATTATTTGTTTCATCTTTCTCTCTCCCACTACTGAGCACCCTTCTCAAGGGAGAGACAGCAGTAAGGAACAGTTCCACTGGGCACTGATCATGCTACAGCTGGGCACCCTGGAAAAGTAGGGTGCATGGTAAGGATTAGGAACCCTACCGCTGGAGTTTAGCAGAAGGACTGTTACCACTCAGTTTTCCCCCTTAAGCTGATGCAATCTAGGGTAATGAGAGTCACATTACAGTTCAAATTTATCTACTCAACTCACTTATCTTTCCTATCCTTTGCTCTCACAGGTGGTCCAGGCAAATTGCCATTTTAGCTCTTTTATCTGTGTCCAACCTTGGATGTTACCAAATTATTCCTCTTGCTCTATTAGCCAAATACCTTCCTTCATGGTATCTTCAAAACCACTCTTTCATTCACTCTTCAACCCATATTCAGTAAGTACCTTATGTGCGTTACACTGTTCTGGGATACTACAGTGAACAAAACAGCCGAAATCCTTGGTCTTGTGGAACTAAGAACATGGTATTCTAGTTTAAATCTCTCTTCTAAGACAGTCTTCCAATCAGGTATCAAAGGCAGCCATTAATATATAAAATCCCTGCTGACTTTTACTGAGCACCAACTACACTTGAGATACTGTGCCAAATGCTCATTTGATCCTCATCACAACCCTAGGTGGAAGATTCTATTAGGAAACATCAAAAAACTTAAAAAAAAATAATTACAGAATCACAGGCAGTTTTAAAAAATGTACAGGGAAGTGCTGTGCACACTTTACCTAGCCTCCTCTAAAGACAGCATTTTGCATCACTATAGAACAGCATCCAAACCAGGAAGGTGTCATGTACATTCTATTGAGTTCACTCAGATTTTGCCACTTTTCTGTGCACTTACTTGTGACTGTGTATGGTGTGTACGGTGCCTGTGTTGCTCCCTTCAATTTAATCACATTTAGCTTCATGTAACCACCACTGCAATCAAGATACTTAACTGTACCGTTACTGTATGATTCCCTTGTGCCACCTCTTTAAATCTACATCCATCCCTTTTCTCAGCCCTCACCCCGGGCACTCACTGTTATCCATCTCTATAGTTATTTCACGACTGTCATGTAAGTGGAATCATGCATATGTATCCTTTTGAGACTGGCTGTTTCTTCTCAGTGTAATACTTGAGGGTCACTCTAGTTGTAGCAGATATCAACAACTTTTCTTGTTGAGTAATTCTATGACATGGACCAACTATATTCATCCATCGAAGGACATCTGGATAGTCTCCAGTTTTGGGCTATGATGAATAAAGCTGCAATGAGCATTCATGTACAAGCTTCTGCATAAAAATAAATTTCATTTCTCTGGGATATATGCATAAGAATACAATTGCTGGGTCATAAGACCATTTTCAGTTTTAAAAAGGAACTGCTAAACTATTTTCCAGAGTGGCTGTGCCATTTTATATTCCCACTAGCAGTGTATGAGTGATCTGGTTTTTCTGCCTTGTCAGCATTTGGTATTATGACTAGTTTTTATTTTAGCCATCCTCATAGGTACAGTTATATCTCATTGTGGTTTTAATGTGCACTTCTCTAATGGCCTACCGTACTGAACATTTTTTTGTGTACTTATTTTCTGTTTGTATATCCTATTCAGTGAAATGTTTGCACCTATCTTTTGTCCATTTTCTAACTGCATTGCTTGTTTTTTTTTTTAATGTTACATGTTAAGGGTTCTTTACTTATTCCAGATACAAGTCCTTTACCAGATACGTGGTTTGCAAATATTTTCTCCCCATCTGTAATTAGTCCTTTCATCTCTTTAACATTGTCTTTCACAGAGCAAAAGTTTTAAATTTTGATGAGGCCAATTTATCAATGTTCCTTTGACATATT